CCCCGACATGACGCTTCAAAGTTATTCAGACTGCGTCTCATTTTCCTCCTTAAATCCATATAATAATTATTGGAAAATGTGCCAAAAAAAATTTCAAAACAGACCAGCGAAGCATAATTAAAAGAAACCAAAACAAGGTACAACAAAAAGTTAATAATCTGATGATATAATAATAAAAAACATCCATATCAGATGATATGTAATAAACAAATCTTTTGTTATTTTTAAGTATCCCAACAAAATGATTTTTCACAAGATTTGTTTCACAAGAACGAAGCAATAATATGCAAACGGAGAATATGGTAATAAATGTTAATGTTATATTAAATTATGAAAAATTTACTGAGCACAAGCAAGCAACAAACTAGTGATCTAGACAATGGGGTAATTGTCAGGTATGTTGTAACTTTTATATATTTTTTTTATTTATTTGGAACAATGTTGATTAAATTTTTATTCTGAGAATCTTTTGTGGAAATGTTTCCTGACTGCAGAAGTAAGCAAGTATAATAGAAGCATTATTATTAACATATTAATGAAACATTCATGAATCAGATATATGTAATAAAACAATTCTTTTGTTAATTTTTTTAGTATTGCAAACAAGATGTTATTTTCTACAAGATTTGTTTCCACCACAAGCGACCGAAGCATAACAATGCAAACGGAAGCCATTATGTAATTAATAAATTACGAAAATGTACCGAGTAACCAGCCAAACAACAAAACTAGTGATCTGGGACATTGGTAATTGTCAAGGTATATTAGTAACTTTTAATATTTTTTATTTGATTTGGTACATGTGATTCATTTTTATTGAGAATGCTTTTGTGGAAATGTTTTTCGACTACAGGAAGTGAAACAAGCACAAAATAGAAATATTATTAATTATATTATTAATTATAATTTTACATTGTTCTCGAACAGTTTTGTTATTGTTATCTCCTTCTTTATTTCAAATTTTATTGATTTTGCGGCTTTCAATATATTTATACAGGGTGTTTGATAGCTGATCATGCAGACGAAAGTTGGAGATAGATTGGTGTAGCCGAGAAGAAAAGTCATGTACCATAATGTCAAATTGCCAATAGTTATCGAGTTATTAATTAAAACATGTGAGGCCAACGAGCGCGTAGAGAGCGGAGGGCGACCGCAGTAAGCACATAGACATTTGATACAGGCGGAGTCCAGCGAGTGACGGTAGGCGAGCGCGCGACGGCGAGGGGTAACGTAACGACAAGAGGCGATCGCGCGCGACGAGGAGCGAGCAGCGCGAACGACGAGGAGCGAGCGACGCAAAAGCGAGCGAAAAGACGAGCGAGCGCGACGAAGGAGCGAGCGAGCTATAAGGAAAAAAGCTATAAAGAAAAAAGCTCGCTCGCTCCTCGTCGCGCGCGATCGCCTCTTTGTCGCTTACGTTGCCCTCGCCGCGCGCGCTCGCCTATCGACACTCATTGACTCCGCCTGTATCAAATATCTACGTGCTTACTGCGGCCGCCTCCGCTCTCTACGCGCTCGTTGGCTCACATGTTTTAATTAATAACTCGGTAACTATTGCCAATTTGACATTATGGTACATGACTTTTTTTCTCGGCTGCACCCAATCTATCTCAACTTTCGTCTGCATGATCAGCTATCAAACACCTTCTGTATAAGATGTGGTAATATTTTTATTAATTCACAGGAACAGAAAATTTTCACCGATTTGTTGTTGAAACATTAATATCTTTAAAAATTGAAAGTCAATGCAGTAGACAGAAATGTAAAACTTCTTTTGCATAAACGGTCAGTTCCTACTATTGACACAGAAGAAGGGGAAGATGACATTTTTTCAGAATTTACAGTTAAAAGTGACAATGAACTTGAAGTAATAGAAACAAAGTTAAGAATGACTCAACTTATAGAAAAAATTTGGTACTTTACATCTGTTTATTATTTAATATAGCTGTTAAGCAACGTAATAAAAATTACAAAAACATAGATTAAAACCTAAGTTGTATTTTAACACTTTAATTATATAACTATTCATTATCATAATAACAGGAAAATATTCGGAACATTTACATATTTTTTGACTCGATTGGAAGAGAAACTGTTGTTTAATAGACATATCTTTTTATTTTAACGTACGCTGTAATAATTTTTGTCGTGCAATTTTTCACTTTTGACATAATTAAATAAAGATAGTCTCAGAGAGGATCCATAGAGTCATAAATATATAAATTAATAAATGTCATTAGACGAAATATTGAATTAATATTAACTCTATACTTACATTTCAGATTAAAACAATTGGTTCGAGTTGTATGCGAGGATTTAAAAATATCATAAGATTAATGAGACAAATCTTCAGCAATGAATTAGCCATGGAATACAGCTGGTATGGAGCGAAAAAGAAAAATATCTTCAGCAACTTACAATTGTGTAAAGTAATTATATATAAGTAAAATATACAATCAGAATATATATACAGAATTGTAAATCTTAGTTTTTAATTAATAGCATAATTGGTAATTATTTAGAAGAGGCACGCCGCCTCTGATTTTGCTAAAACTCTCATTTGATTCATTTTCACATGTAGAAGCCGAATCTGAATTAAAAATCATTGCTCGGCTGTACAAAGCGAGAAAAATATTGTTTAAGATAGAATATAATAGGTTAAGAAACTTGTTTTGCAAGGTAAAGTCTGTTCGTTATACTTATTGTAATGCAGTGCAGTATAACAATTACATATACTTAAATTAAGAATATTTATATAAATAATTTTGTCACATGTCACCTTGCATAGAGGCCTTTGCTAATCTTTTCAGAATTTGTCGTTTTAATGTATGATAGACTCATTGATTTAGTAAGACGAAGATTTAAAGATATATTCTTTTATAATTATTGTACATAAAATAGGAGTTATTTTGTGTACAATTTAAAAATAAGACCTATCTTGTGTACAATAATTGCAAAAGAATATATTTTTAATCTTTGCCTTACTAAAGTGATGAGTCTACCTTATATTAAAATGACAGATTCTGAAAAGATTAGCAAAGGCTCCTATGCAAAGGAGAATGTATCATGAATCAAAAGCGGAAGAATCATAGCATATGTTATTTTATTGCGTAACAAGAGGAACAAGATCAGTCCTACATAATGAGATAGCATATACTTACATTCTTCTGCTTCTGATTAATGATACACTCTCCCTTGTGTAGGGGCCTTTGCTAACCTTTTTAGAATCTGCCATTTTAGTACATATAAGGCGAAAATTTAAAGATATATCCTTTTATAATTATTGTACACAAGATAGAAGTTATTTTTGTACAATTCAAAATAAGTTCTATCTTATGTACAATAATTATAAAAGTTAAGTTGTATACTGCGCTACACTAATACAGTAAGTACAACGAAGAAACTTTACCTTGCAATGACAGGTTTCCTAACCTATCATACCTCTATCTTTAACAATTTTTTTTTGCTTTATAGAGTTGAATAACTATTTTTACTTTTGGATCCGGTTTCCATGAGTCAAAATATATATGATACGTTTAGCAAAATCGGAGGCGGTATGCCTTTTCTAAATAATTACCAAATGTTTAAACAAATATTTAAGTAATCTCTTTATTTATATATTTACATTAACATAAAATTTTTCAACTTTCTTTTAAGCAACTTAAATGAGAACAGATATTTATTTAAAGAAAACACACACTCTCTCTCTCTCTAATTACACTGATTTTTAAATTTTATATTCCAGGTGTGATAAGAAAGTCGCATATAACTGCAACAGATGAACAAATTTCTGCTCCCATCAAGATCTGGCTGGCTCATGCAAAGGAACGTGCAAAAAAAACAAAAAATAATTGAGTTATTTTAGATTTTACATATATATATAATTTATGAAGATACATATATATATATCAGGTTATGTAAAAAGAAATCCATTATTTTTGCATGAAATTGAAGGCTTTAATTACCATAGTTAGAATGATCCGATTTAGATCAAATATGCGCCGTTTTGTTCGATAACTTGTTGCAATTTTGAAGGTAATTTCATTATGCCTTTCTCATAGAAGCCCTCGTCCCTATTGGCAAAAAATTGAGACAGTCGATTTTCACAAGCCTCTCTTGAAGCGAATTTTTTCACCAGCAAAATTGTTCGCCATGGACAGGAACAGATGGTAATCACTTGCCAGGTCTGGACTATAAGGTGGATGCATAAGAACCTCCCAACCAAGCTCCCGGAGCTTCTGGCGAGTCACTATCGATGTGTGTGGCCTGGCGTTGTCCTGATGGAACACAATTCCTCTCCTATTGGCCAAAACTGGCCGCTTCTGGGCGATTGCTTCCTTCAGACGGTCCAATTGTTGACACTACAGTTCCGAGTTAAGAGTTTTGCCATAGGGGAACAGCTCATAGTAGATAATTCCCTGCCAATCCCACCAAACACACAGCAAAACCTTCCTGGCCGTCAATCCTGGCTTGGCCACCGTTTCCGCCGGCTCACCGCGATTCGACCACGACCGTTTTCGCTTGACGTTGTCGTAAGTGATCCACTTTTCATCACCAGTGACCAACCGCTTCAGAAATGGGTCGATTTTGTTGCGATTCAGCAGCGATTCGCAGATGGAAATTCGGTCCATGAGGTTTTTTTGCGTTAATTCGTGTGGCACCCATACATCGAGCTTCTTTTTGTATCCAGTCTTATTCAAATGATTCCAAACGGTTTTTTGTGTAATCTTTAGCTCTTGGGCAATCGAAACAGTGCTTACATGACGGTCGGACTCGACAATGTCCATGATTTTATCGATATTTTCGACAATTGGCCTTCCAGTGCGTGGTGCATCTTTGACATCGAAATTACCGGAACGGAATCGACGAAACCAAAATTGCGCGTGATTGGCTGTTACAGTATCAGGACCATAAACACTATTCATATTTTCAGCCGCCTGGCTTGCGTTTTCGCCTTTATCGAAGAAAAACTGTAAAATATAGCTGTAAAATATTTTCTCTTTGCTAGTGTCAATCTTTGACGCGCGCTCAAACAAAACTGAATCAACTAATCACAAAACTGTCAGAAAAGTTTTTTTAGTACGAAATCTCATCTTTCTAACGCCATCTAGTGGAACCCGATCGGACTTATACAACGCGAGATACAGATAACTAAAGCCATCTATTGGAAAAATAATGGATTTCTTTTTACTACACCTGATATTATAATTTATAAAGTTTATAGTTTATAAAGGCAGTACAAGTTGTTAAGAGTTCATTTATATGTTAAACTAATTTAAAAAATATATATTATAATATATATATAACCAATTTGTCATTTTCATTATTCCCAAAAAAACCTGCAGAATATTTATATATTATATAAATATTCTACAAATATACTAACAATAAACTAGGAAATATTTCTAATCGATACTAGTAATATTATTAAAATATTATTTAGATATACCTACAATATAATACGAAATATTCTCAGTATATACTGAGTAGACTGCGGAAGCGGACATAGGAACATTCTCAGTATATTCTCAAAATATTACAATACGTATTTCGAATATTCATGGAATAATCGCAATTTACGGTTGCGATATACTGAGAATCTGCTTAGAATCTACCTGTGCTGTATGGGTGCTTACTTCTGCTGAACACAATAATATAATTCCTCACCTATGGAAATAATAGCATTATACATATATATTCATTCAACGTCGATGATAAATTTATTAACATTAAAGAAATTATGGTTTATAACTTTTTTAACTTACACTCAAATTTAAAAATATTTTTCACTTAAAATATTATTAGACAATTAATACTCTCCTTTAATATGCTGTTTTACAAATTTTATGAAGCCTTTTGCCACTTTTCTTCACAATTTGTTCACTCATTCTTCACTCTTCTTCATTCTTCACTCTTTGTTTTCTTCATTTCTTCAATCATAACTCAAAGTCTCCAAGACATTTGTGTCTACGCCACAATCACTACTTATTTGACACTCGTGTATGCCATCCTTCTGCTCTCGTAATAAGTGACAGCGCTGACGTATGAAGCAGTGGTTGTCTTTCTCCTCAAGTTGGAGCGCGTTCCGAAGTCAACAAAAAATCGGTGCACATACCTTTTAGTTCACGAGTGCACGATCGCGAGCATAAAGATTTGTGACCGTTTTTTTTGCAACTTTCGGAAAGCATCCCGACTCGAGAAGAATGAGAGTCACTGCTCCGCCGTGACTCTCATTCTCGTGGAGCACGCCTGCGCAGTGACTCATGACGAAAGGCGAGAAATGAAATATACGCGGTGGGACATATTATAATAATACAGACTCAGATGAAATGAATACTCCAGTATTAAATGGAAATGAGGGAACACAGAACAGACAAGAATCATCCGATGTAAGTCTTATACTTCGAAGGACATCCGAAAAAGGTAAAATACGAACTTAATTAGAGAGAATTAAGCTGCATTACGATAGTTACGATTCTGTTATACATTTATATATAATTAATTGTTCCAGCAACAGCCACCTTCTATAGCAGAAGCAATGATATTAGATACAGAAGCAGCTGCTATAGCGAATTTTGAATTTTTGGGACATACAAACATGGACATGGAAGAGGAAGAAGGAGATGGAGAGGATGAAATTTATGATGCAAATACAGATACCAAACCAAATAAAGTAACGCTTACCATCATCTTGCGTTTTAATGATATTGTTCACGCTATTTGTTAACATAATTTCTTATTTTTCAGGCATCTATCCCCCTTCTAGCGGAAGATGTTGATACAGATACAGAGGCAGAAGTATTAAATGAATTAAATCTCCTCACAGAAATTGAAGAATCGCCACCTGGTTCTATCCACCTGGAAATGAATTCTTCAAAGGGGTTAGTAAATCTCTTTTTATTCGTGTATTTTAAGATAAAATATAAACCTATTACAATAATAGATATTTTGTAATATTGTCACATATAATCACATAATCTAATGATGCCTGTAAGTTTATTATATAGAAGATTACAACAAGATCCAAGACGCCCAAATAATAAAGAAGGCGGTCACTCTACGCTGGAATTAGGAGAATTAGAACAATTATGTGTTAACAATGATACAGAAATATCGTACGATGTAAGTTCCAAGAATTTTCCCCTGTATTTCAGTCGAGTCGTTTTTTCAGCTATGTAAGTTACAGTTTGAATAAATACAGTTTGATCTCTTCGAACGTTTCGATAATCTATATAATATATATATATATATATATATATATATATATACAGGGTGTCCCATTTTAAGTGTCCACCCCAAATATATCTCTTTTTTTTTTATTTTAGAGAAAAATGGTTCAGACACGTTTTGTATGGTTTCGAGGGGGCCATAAGAGGGTACCATTGATTTGACCTTGGAGAGTCATTTGAAGGTCACGTAAAGGTTACTTCAATTTTTTTAGATGGTACTCCCTATCTTTTATTACATATTCTTGTAGCTCACCTCGAGAGCTTCCCAAAACATTAGAATCAAATGTATTTTGGTGAAGTACTTTTTGAGTTATAAAGCTCCAAATTTACAAAATTTTGATAAAAATACAACTTATTTCGTAAAACATTCACTTTTCGATAGTCTTATCTTACATGATCCAACCAGTCAAGGCGAGACCGAGCATGATACAACCAGTCCAGGCAAAATCCGAGCATAATCTAGCCAGTCAAGGCAAGATCCGAGCATGATCCAGCCAGTCAAGACAAGATCCGAGCATGATCCAACCAGTCAAGGGAAGATCTTCTGTGTACAATTACTTAAAGTATTCAAAAACTTGGCCATTTATTTGTATGCATAGCTCTAGTCTATGGTGAAAGTCGTCCCTAACTTTTTCAAGAACACTTACATTAATATTTCTGCAAGCCTGTCTGATCCGGTTTTTCATATTTTCAACGGTTGTAGGCTTTTGCGAATAAACTATATCTCTAATGTAGCCCCAGAAATAAAAATCTAGGGGTGTCAAGTCGGATGATCTTGGGGGCCATTCTTGAACTCGGCTGCCCATACCAATCCACCTATTCGGGAATCTATTGTTTAAATATTGTGTAACAGCTCGAGATCTATGAGCCGGTGCTCCATCTTGTTGAAACACATTCGTCTGAGTAAATCATTGTCGACATGTCTCAGGAGGTTGGGCAGGTCATCTTGAAGAAATCTTAGATAGATTGCCGCATTGAGATTTTCTTAAAAAAAATATGGACCATAACATCTCCCAGGATGCCTGCCCAAACGTAAATGGACCACTGCCGTTGGAACTCTTGGCTTCTCTGCCAATGTTGATTAGCATCTGAATAATAATGGCAGTTATGTCTATTAATGCCTCCTCTATTACAAAACGTGGTTTCATCAGAAAAAAGCGTATCAGCAATGAACCGGGGATTTTGTTGGATTTGATCTCGAGCCCAGTTACAGAAACGTACACGGTGTTGGTAGTCCCTCTCTTCCAATTGCTGAGTTAAGCCAGCGGCACACGGTGCTTGTTTTCGTGCTGAATTGCTTGCTGGATGAAAATACTGCGTTCTGATTGGTATATTTCCATCCATCTTCGGAAATGTACCAATCAGAACGCAGTATTTTCATCCAGCAAGCAATCCAGCACGAAAACAAGCACCGTGTGCCGCTGGCTTTAGATGAATGTGATATGGATGAAACTTGTTGAGTTTGAGCACACGATTGGCTGTTGATTTTGATATACCGTATTGCCTCTCAATTTGTCTCGTAGAGATTTGAGGATTCAAAGCAATGGCACCTATAACAGTCAATGATGTGACTTCATCAGGGTCCGATTTTCGCCGGTTTCTTCTAAGAAAACCCTGTTCAGCTCTGTCACAGAGTCTTTTTATTACTTTCTTATCAGGATGGCGTCTGTCTGGAAATCTTTCAGCATAAAGCCTTTCTGCTGCCGAATAATTATTCCTGGCCTCACCCAAAATGCGAATCATGTCCACAATTTCATTTGGTGGATAAGCAGCCATGATTATAAAGAAAAAAAGCGCCAAAAAACCAAAAATTCCTGTCTTATCAAAAAAAAAGTCAATGGATAATAATATGCGTCTGTCTGAGACTTTGCCAAAATACCGACAGTTGCCCAAGTAAGAAATTTGAAACAAGCCTCTTGATATTTGTTTCATTAAAAGAATTGACAATTGCACTTTCACAACTGTTACAGTTCATTGATTATCAGGCAATACAGGATCTCATCTTAACTGGCTGGATCATGCTCGGATCTTGCCTTGATTGGCTGGATCATGCTCGGATCTTGTCTTGACTGGTTGTATCATGCTCGGATCTCGCCTTGACTGGTTGGATTATGTAAGATAAGACTATCGGAAAGTGAATGTTTTACGAAATATTTTGTATTTTTATCAAAATTTTGTAAATTTGGAGCTTTATAACTCGAAAAGTACTTCACCAAAAACGTTTGATTATAGTGTTTTGGGAAGCTCTCGAGGTAAGCTACAAGAATATGTAATAAAAGGTAGGGAGTGCTATCTAAAAAAATTGAGGTAACTTTCACGTGACCTTCAAATGACTCTTCAAGGTCAAATCAATGGTACCATCTTATGGCCCCCTCGAAACCATACAAAACGTGTCTGAACCATTTTTCTCTAAAATAAAAAATAAGAGATATATTTGGGGTGGACACTTAAAATGGGACACCCTATATAGTGTTGTGTGTGAGCCACAAGGTTTGTGGCGACGTCTGTTGTCCGTGAGCCTTAGCCATCTGATTTTGACAACTGAACGAAGATTGTCTGGACGACGGAAAATCAATAAGAAGAAAACAACAGCTTAGAGAGTTTCTGGCAAGCTGTCACCGTTGATAGACGCGAGTCTTATAAAACAGAGAGTTATTCCTGTAAAAAAGCTTGAAAGAACGGTGCTGTAAATAGTAAAGCTTATTAGTTGTTACGCGGGTGTTTTCATTTACCCGAGTGCAAGCGCGAGTGCGAGAGTGAGCGCAACAATATATATATTAAGTAATAACTCATATAGCACAAATCTTGAAAGGATGTTTTAAGAACGTTCTAAGGATATTCATACATCCTAAGAACGTTCTAAAAACATTCTCTGAAGATTTGGTGCTATCTGGGAAGTAATTTTGTATCTTTTGATAAAATTAAACAATACTTGTATGTTGTTATAATTTCATGAAGCAATGTATACGAGAGATGGTAGATGATATTGGGTTGTTCAAAGTCATTGCAGGTTTTTCAGTGATTTTCAAGACTTAATTTTATATAAAGAATTAACATGAATCAATGATGGTAATGAACGCAAGCACTTTGTGAGGAATCCAATAGTTCAATATATCCCATACATTTTTTCATGAAATTATAATGACATAAACATACAATTATTACATTGTATCTGAAAACAAAGAAATTACTTATTATTCCACTCAATATATTGCGTGAGTGCAAAAGTTCGTGCGGAGTTTCAATAGATGGAGTTATAAGCGTCGTAAAGTGTTGTCATTAATACTTCCATCTACATATTATATAACGTTGGAAAGATGACGTCTTCAGCTGTTATTAAAAAAAATCATTTGTTTTCATACAAACTGCTTCGAGAAATATCACTTTAAAAATGAGTATCGATAAGGTGCATTTACGGCATGTTATGCTTTACGAGTTTCGGAAGGGAATAAACGTTGCCGCAGCCGTAAAAAACATTCAGGATGTTTATCAGGATGAAGCACCAGCTAAACGAACTGTGGAAAAATGGTTTGCTAAATTTCGGCGCGGAGAATTTAACCTTGAAGACGAGCCACGCTCTGGTCGACCTTCTGACATTGATGACGATGTTTTGCGTACTTTAGTGCTCAATAATCCGCGAATTTCAACAGAAGTTGCTACAGCACTAAACGTTGACCGATCAACCGCTTTTCGGCGTTTAAAAAAGATGGGATTCGATTTGAAGCTCGATATATGGGTGCCCCATTTGCTGACCGAGAAGAACAAAATCAAGCGAATTTCTGCAGCCGTTTCTTTACTCGGGCGGCTCAATAACGAGTCGTTTTTGGATCGACTAGTGACGGGCGATGAGAAATAGGTCCTCTACAACAATGTTCAGCGCAAACGGACATGGAAACAATCAGGTGAGCATGGTGACGCAATGCCAAAGGCCAGTTTGCACCCGATGAAGGTGATGCTCTCTGTTTGGTGGGATTGCAAGGGCATAATCTATTTCGAGCTTCTCCCCGCTGGCGAAACGATTGATTCGGACAAGTACTGTCGCCAATTAACCAATCTGAATCGAGAAATAAAAGAGAAACGTCCGATTTTGTCAAATCGCAAGGGAATCGTCTTTCATCACGACAACGCCAAACCACACGTTTCGAAAAAGACGCTGCGCAAACTGAAGAGCCTGAAATGGGATGTCTTAACGCATCCACCGTATTCTCCTGATATCGCACCATCTGACTATCACTTGTTCCGGTCATTGCAAAATTATTTAAATGGAAAAAATTTTGACTCTTTGGAGGCCTTAAAAAACGGCGTCTCTTCGTTCTTCGAATCTAAACCGCGCAGTTTTTATGATCGAGGCATCCGTATGCTGCCAGAACGTTGGGAAAAGATTATAGAAAACGATGGAGAAATATCATTGATTGAATAAAGATTTTTGTTTGCCTAATCACTGTGTGACTTTTACTTACAAACTCCGCACGAACTTTTGCACTCACCCAATATATATATTTTTTGTAGTGTGTGTATGTGGTGTATAATAGGGTTCGCACATTTTATTGAAATAAGCAGTATACAATTTTCGTTTTATAAACGTATTGGTAATTATTTAGAAGACGGGCCTCACCTTGGATTTCGCTCAAACTCATCTACCTTGTGTATTTTGACGTGTAGAAGCCAAATCTGCAAGTAGAAATGGTCGTTCGGCTCTAGTTTGCGAGAAATAAATAGTTAAAAAGTGACACATGCGAGATTAGGAAATCTGTCATGTCGGTAATACAGAGACTTATGGA